TTTTGATTGGAAATAATATTACTGTTTTTCATCATTTAGCCTGCTTTTATTATAGATATTTCTGATATTATCTTCCGATATTATTGTACGCTTTCACTCATTTTTTTTCAGAAATGTGTCGTGAGCAAATTTGTTTGAAAATGGGTGGCTTGATATTGATGGAAGTTTTTTATTTTAGAGACAAACTCTTACGCGGTTTGCAAACTATTTTTCGTTTAGTTCGTTTGCACTTCTAGCAAGAAATTCATTATGTATATTGTATATAAATTCATAGCAACACCCAAATAATAATTCATGGTGTAGCATCTATGATTATTGTGGCTATAAGTGGAAAGTATAGGTGGAGCACCGATGGCACATCGATGCGGCATCGATGGCTTGTCTGGCCTGTGTTCCACCTATAACCAGCCGATGGCCACCCTACCCGAAAAAATCTTCTTCCACCAATGACTCCCATTGACACCGGTGGCGCATCTATGAGCCTCCGATGGCCACCTTTAAAATGAAGTCGATAAAATTTCGATTTTAATATCGCATCCGATGCATTTGCATTTACTGATATTTCTTCATACGCTCACAGATTCTGAGTACTACGTATGCAAATCCAACATGGCAGTACATGTAACAGTGTCAGACATGTAGCAGGAACAAATTATCAGAGTACCAAACACATACTTCGTGAGAAATCGACTTGAAGAAAAGTCCCTGCCAGCAGGATTTGAAGTCCGATTTCCCTCACGCAAAGCCAAGCCTCTACCGTTGAGCCATCGTAGAGGACTTTGAACTCGAGACATTTTGAAGGTTTTAATTCAAGTATTGCAATTATTAATTTCAGTAAATGACAGAAGTTAGTGCTACCACCGTGACGATTAGATAGTTCCACCAGTAATTATATTTGAACATACTGCTTCATTCGTGTAAACGGCCGATCAAAGAACTTCCTTTATCCATAACGGAAGATTATTCAGCTTAAAGTAAAGGCTACGGAAAAATGCTTGATAAGAATCTAAGTTTCATTATGTGAACATTATACCAATTTCGAGCGAGGTTCGATTCATAATATTTTCACAAAGAATATTCTTGCGTGGAAGAAGGAATAGATATCAATAAACGATTTTGAAATGTTGGGCGTGAAATACCTTCACCACTCCGTGTCAATATTTTTCTTTAGCCTAATCTTCTTTTGCGTAGGCAAAATACCGACACCACTTTATTAGAAACATAGAATTAATCTCAAAACATTTATCTAACGGCATAAGAAAATTTCCCTAAATAATTTAATTTCACCATCAAAATCAGTGATAGACAACCAAATTTTTGCCCGTATACCTCTGCGTAGAGAGAATACTTTTTTTATTACCCGGAAAGCAGATACTTCAAGCAGGACATTAGTAGGAAAGAAGCTCAACGCCGACGCGCGCTAACCCAACTGGATCAACGTGCACTTACTCGACTAACTCGCTGTGCTTTAGAGATGCCAAGCCGCTGTCGCCTACATCAGCGTGGCATTAGATAAATGAGGCAACTTGATAATATTATAGAAATTAAGAAATACACCTAATCGATCTATACAATTTTTACTTAATGGAACAATGAATAAATCTCGAATTTTATGGCAATATTTCAAACTCAGCAAGTTGACGCGTACGCAAAATTTACAATAAATGTACGCAATGTGCTAGGTAAACTTGAAAAGTTGTGAAACTTTGTTTTTTGCAATAAAAATTTCCACTGTTCCTCGGACAACATATATCAGGATCATTCTGATACATGCCTATTGGTTTCACTTTGGCTTGAAATATTTATGAAGACCCTGTTTTTCCGAATTCACGCTAAATTCTCCCTAAATTTACTTGAATCAAAATCTTACAAGCCAAGCACACATTACGGTCATGGTTCAGCCTTGATCTCGAATGACCTTCAAACCGATGATTCCTTGCTACCTTAGGATAATTCACAGTGGCAAATTCCTTCGCGCAGTGAGCAGTTTGAACAAACGGTTATCGGTGGCTTACAAGATATTTGCCTGCAATGTGCCATCGATGATTTAGACCCTTTAAATAATCGATGATTCATCGATATCTGCCACCCATACTCACACCCTCTCGATTTATTGATGTTTCATTGACGATTCTTGCCCGATTTAGCCACCCACCGTTACGCCACCTATAATCTTCCATCCCCACCTATAATCATCGATATGCCACATATAATTTTTATTTGGGCTACCTTGTGATAATACCACGTACTGTCAAATATGCGGTTATGTATATTAGAATACAATATTTTGCCATTAACTGCTTATTCATTTTAAAAACCCATCTTTTTCACGTCTTTCACGATAACATTACATTTCTCATGAAGAAAAAAAGTCAAACATGAACTCGCACAATTTTTATTATTTTCCTGATCATACCCTACAAGATCTCTAGCAGCAACAGGCTAGTTAAATAAATTCTTCAAAAAATTAATTAAATTCTTTAAAATTCTTCAATTTCAATATGGCCTGTGGCTTTAATTTTGCAAAAGCTATCCTGCTACTACTTGGAAAGTAAGTAAGTCAGTAAGAAAACTGACATCGGAACAAGGCGGAGTTCAAAGAGGTGCAGCGCGCATCCAAGCGTCGTGTATAGCGACTGTTAGCGTTGCAAATGACGCAGGACTAACGATTATTGTTGGTCGCTGAGGTAAACATGTTCGCTTCTGACACTCGCCCAGCAAATATCTTGGCCGAATTATCGGCAGCCTGCCTTAACATGCATGACAGGCTGCCGTGTATAAGGATGGCCAGATTGGCAATGTCAGGTCTACATACAATCCTCATGTCTCAAAAAAGAGAAGCAAGGCTGTGTGTACATCATTTTTGTTATAACATCATTCAAAATACCTATTTCAATCATTATCGTAACTTGGTAGCAATAATTCATGATTAAGGCAAGGTATGTCTGGATCGAAGGTTTAAGTTAATAAGGTCTTAAGTTAAAGTGTTTGAAAATCACATGAGCCCTTGCGTTAAAATTATCGAAATATCGATCTAATTGAACCTTTTAAATATTCTGGACGATTTCATGGGTGACTGATTCATGCACCAATCATTGTGTTCACAGTGAATTTATTAACCTAAAAATTCTCAATTATTGATGTTTTATGTTCCTTAAATTCTAGCAACTTTTTGAGTTCAGTTTATTGAAAGCCTAAATTTGAACAGTAATTGCGTTGAAGTATCTTCTATCCTATATGAACAAGTTTACATTGCGTTAAAACTATAAGTGTTTGGACCCTTGGCAATTAGAGCTTAAATAAATATGATATTACTCATTTTTCAACGTGAAGTAACGCCTATAATTGAACTCTAAAAGCTTGGACAGTTTTTTTCTGCCTCGCAACATCATGAATAATATCATCGCCTGCCGCCTTAAATATTTTCTTCCAATTTTGGATGAGAAATTCCATCAAATTGTACAAGTTCTGCCCGCAACTTTGGTTTCGTATTTTTACGCAACCGTGCAGCTGAGAAGCGTGGTAGATGTTCCTAGTCATCACACACACCAACTGATGCTATTGCTTCTCATCAGTCTCATTTTTTCTACTCACAAAGTTGTCGGCAAAATTATTCTCACACAGGAATGAACTTTTAGTAAATAAATTCGCCGACCGGAAATAAATTTCTCTCCACAACTTTACGAAATCGTGTAAAAATTTTAGGAATTTTGTCAACATTTTTGGAATTTCGTCATTCTATGCTTTAACATAAAATACGGGGTGTATGATACGATGTAAGATTTTGAAAATACAGGAATCCTTTCGATGTTCAGACACAAAGAAACTTTAATTCTCTGACTAATAATTCCCGATTATCGATAAATATATCAATTCAACACATCTCTTTTGGATTATGATTGCTCGAATCCCTCACTTGAATACCAATAAATTATGACAAATTAATACAAGTCATAAGGCCTCTTGCCGAGGCCATCAATCTACATATTTTTGATTGACTTGGTAGCTCATCAAGCCGTTGCTACAAACCTGCCTTTGATGGTCAAGCGATATTGTGCTTCTAGGCACATCTCTATGTTCCGTTTAATACATCAATCGACATCTGTTTCGAGTCTGTAACGCATACAAAATTTATTATGTAGGTAGCTATGAAATTTAAAATCGATGTGAATATTAAGTTTTATTTTAACGGCAGATTTTCCATATCGTGTCGAACTAATTCCGTTCTTTATCCAAATGCAGAGATAAAAACAAGATCACAAGTGCAGGATCAGTTGTTTTGTGATAAAGGCTCTAATTCCAGAAAAAAGGGAAATTTAAGGTATTCTATAACTAATGAATCGATAGTTGATGTTTTACAAACTATGTACAAACCTTTATGGCAATATTTCCAATTAACTAAATTAATATTAATCTTAATAATAAATAAATAAAAAATTTTAACTAAAACATCCAAGCATCATTCGAGAAAAATTATGCCAGTGGACGCAATTTTCAAATTTGTTTCAAGAAGTTCAAGTCGCCTCTTATTCAGCTTATTAATTCAACATTCACTTTAAATTCGAACAAATAACAAAATGAGATCACGAAGAACTAATCTAAAGCTGGCGAGCTCCAAGAAATAAATTATATTCAAAGTATATTCATCCTATCCATACGATGAGGCCATCTTCAAGGAGAAATAAAATTTATCTGTTATATCAGAAGTTGTGTAATAGTACACTCATTCATTCTAGTGTATGCACTGCATGCATTAATGTTCATTTCAACCGATTACGAGTGAGAACGTTTACACGAATGAATTGCGATGCGCAGCTTCGTAAAATTTCAGATTTTTCATCTCGGACCGATATATTTTATTAATCATTCTTTTTGATGTTTAATTTCAAAACATCGATATTAATAAAAAATCGATAATATGAGCAATTTTTGCACTTTTGAATATTATGTTGGCAACGAAATTGGTTTACAAAGTACAAAAATGAAATTGGTTTACTCACCAGCATAATTTAGTAGAGCGCCAATCATGTAGAACATTGTTATAACTTTCGTCCAGTGAGGTCCCATGTTTAATTCATAAATTTCAGTTTAAATATTTAATCAATTAAACTGAGTTTATACCTTAAATATTTTCACAAAGTTTCAAAAATATGTGCAATAAGTTTGAAAATGTTACTTAAATCTCAATCGAACACTCCGTAGATTTTTCCGTCATTCCGTCACCCTCAAGTGTTTCTTATGAATTTGAGACACAATTCACGGAAAAATGAAATATTTAAAGCAAGCAATTACCAGCATCAACTGCTAGAGGCAGCTTAAAAGCTATTACACAAGACGTTGACTGAGTGCTTCAAATACGTGCTTTACGTGAGATACATGAAGCTTCACTGGAGAGGGAAGGCTCGGCAGGCCTGGACTAGCAGCGCCGCACCGCTCAGCCCCACTAGCGACATCTGGAATCTTCAGCCGGATGCCAAAACTAACCAACCAAAATTCGGTGAGAGAAGATCTTCCTTCTTTGCTTTTTCATGCCTAAAGATACAATGCTTATCCGTTCATGATAGTGGAATCGTCAAGGCCTACTATGAACATGCAATCCTTTATTTGTCACGAGAATGTAAATTTGCTTGCTACTGACCGACATCGAATTTTGGTCATCATCGTCTTAAAGGTATCTATTGCCCCAGTTCGAAATCATTTAAGACTATCCAATGTATGCAAATCTACCATGAAACTTGTAAGGTGCATAAAACATTTCGAGCGTAAATTTTTGCTGTAGCGGCAATAATTCGTTATTTATGCTGCAGTAAACTCGTTATCAGAAATGAGATAAAAAAATAATCGACCATCACTCTCTCAATGTTGTCCTAGAAAGTTGGCGGACGCACGTGCTAGCAAGGAATTTTAAGGACTTTGGACCTGTCTAGGCGAAAGAACTTCCAAAAATGATCCTAAGACGTTCACGACTTCTCAGCTCGCGTATTGAAGCCCTCATTTTCCAGAAACGAGCTCTGCAGGACACTTAAAAAACTCGCGTTTCTCTCAGCCTTTGAACATTCAATAAACAATACGAGATGGAGTCGTTATAGGAAGGAATTTTCTTAAAATAAAAATTGGCTTCCAGCATGGCTGGGGACCTGCAACGGAGTCTCCGTCGCACGAAGACGATCGCGTCAAGAGATTTGAGAATGAAAGCCTGGAGTTTGGTTCCGGACGTAGACTTCTCAGACTTGAACTTAAATCCATGAATTTTGGAATCATCCTCCAGTTTGCCGGCACACAAACTCATGCACAGAGATAAAGTCTGACAGTTGGAGTCAACATCTAATTTCGAGGGATAGATTGGACACGCTTGCAAAGCTCCGAGATGTCAAGTCTTAAAATGAACCTCTATCCGACGCAAGTCTTTGAAATTCTTATGACAGGTAGAAACTCAACTTGAAAATAGGTCGAAAATGAACGTTAGAAGTAAGTTCAGGGTCAGTAACAAAATATTCCTTGTCAGATAAATAGGCGAACATTATATATTAGGGAGCCTCTGCACCTAAATTTTTGTGATAAAAACATTTTTAGAAATTAAGTTGGCTCAGGTTTAATAATATCCTGGCATCCAGCTAGCGGAATTTTTCAGTTAAGTTCAATCTACGATGAAGTGTCAAACATAATCATATTACCTTGAGAATTGTTTTCGCACTCTGAGTGAATTTTTGAATGGATAAACGCTAATTATATTACTCTAAGAAATACGGAACCGTTTAATCGTTTTTAAATCAAAATTAGTTTGCTACGATTACAAGACTTTTGTTTTTTCATGAAAAAAAAATAAAGTCGGGATCAATCATGGCAGTCGCCAAATAAACTTAATTTAGTTTTTTTTTTCTAAGAATATAGCCAAAAAAATTGTTGGAAAATCTACTTATTTCTTGAATGAGATCACTTTTCATTTTTACGGCGTGAAATTCACTTAACGAGTTTCTTTGATTAGCTTCTCGCCTAATTTTTTTAAATTAAAAATAAGATGCAGAATTTGAAACCACAATGAACGGTCGCATAATTAAAAAAACTGCATTGAAAAATATCATGATGTGCCTCCCCGTCATGCGCCAATCATTGTTTTTTTGGCAGATATGTTAAGATAAAGAATTTTTGGACGAAAATCTGGGTGCAATTACGCAGTTGAAATATACTTCGTCAGGAATTAGGTTTACTTTCAACAACAAATTCCATTTGCTAGCCTTTACCGAGTTATTTAGGCCCTAAATTGAATAATGCTATTAGATCTCACGATTGCAGTTTTCAAAGATATTTTTTTAATTAAATAGTCAAACGACAGTAATATTAAAAAACAGCAAGCCTGCTATCGCAATTTTTTTCACGTTTGATTCAATTAAATGAAGAAGTATTTTTACATTTGTGGATAAAAGTTCAAAAAGAACTTAAAATCTTTTAATATTTACCTGGGAAAATAGATGTGCCCACAAAATTAAAAAACTCTACAAAATATCTATTTTTTTTATTCCGAAATATTTATCTTTATCTTAGTTTTGTGAATAATTGGGTAATGTTGTTTTCTGATTATATTCATCATCTAGGAAAATTGATTCCTTGATCTGAAAAAACGGTACTCGACAGGAACATCGGGGTCATTGTGAATTTCAAAGTTTAAATCCATCAACATTAGTTACCATTCGAATTTAATATTGCTTAAATAAAGGTAATTGTATTCATTAGGGCATTCCTGGAGGCTGAGTTGCAAATTTACACGCCGCGTTAGGGTAAAAAAAATCTATCGACATTAGTTACCATTCTAATGTAACAATGCTTAAATAAAGGTAATTGGATTCATTAGGGCATTCCTGGAGGTTGTGTTGCAAATTTACACGCCGCGTTAGGGTAAAAAAAATCTATCAACATTAGTTACCATTCTAATTTAATAATGCTTAAATAAAGGTAACTGTATTCATTAGGGCATTCCTGGAGGTTGTGTTGCAAATTTACATGCTACGTTAGGGTAAAAAAATCTATCAACATTAGTTACCATTCTAATTTAATAATGCTTAAATAAAGGTAACTGTATTCATTAGAGCATTCCTGGAGGTTGTGTTGCAAATTTAGGTATTAGGGTATTTAGTGAGCGTCTGCATCTTGGGAATGAACGTCGTGCGTCGTCTGCTACGCCCAGGCACGCGATGTCGTCATTTACGCAAATGCGCGTCCACATGCAGCGTAAGCTTTACGAATTCCTGCACGCCAGAAGCTTGAATCAATTTGAAACCCAGGTGGGTTTTCGATGACTAATGACCGTCAGGCATTGATTTGCCAAGGCTTTAATTGGGATCAAGACCCCCCGACTCGGTATTCTCATTCCAAAATTTGGAACAAAAGCTTCCATAAATCTCAAAAATGGAATTCACAATCATTCACGGCTGCCGCCATATATACAGAATTAAAATTCCCATAAATCTCATGGGAGTATATGAGCTAATCCATTTTCTGGTAGGCACCGGAACAATTCTGCTCTCTATTACAATTTCTGTGATCGAATTTTGAAGCATTTTTCACGAATTTCCAAAAATGCTGCTGAGTGCTGAGGCGTCCAGAAAATCCAATTGCCATAAGTCAAACAAACTTCCATCAGCTTTGATGTCTGTTTTCAATTTACATGCTGGAAAGAATTCCTAACACCCAAGTATTTTACGATTGCTATATTAAATACTAAAATGAATAAGGTGCACTGAAAATGTTGAATTTGTTTAAAAAAATGCAATACCGTAGGAAGCAGCGATGCTCTTAGATAACTGCAAAATTCTCTGGCAAACGCAATTGCATGAAGCGCAACTCTGGCGCTTCATCCGATATCTGTAATGAATTCTGAGGATATTCCCTGGCTCTGCGATTATGAAAAGCACAGGAATTCTTCACTAAATACATTCCAAATGAGGCAGAGATTCAACCTGTGATTCCCCCTTGACATTTATATCCTGCAATAATTTTTCATTTCTGATTTACTGTGTACCTTTCCTTCGACCGCGATTTTTCATTCGCTCCACATTCATTAGGAGATTTTCAATGTTAATCGACCGAAAGATAAGAGCCATTTCCAGTAGCTCGATTGTCTCGAAAAGTTGCTCCTTACTTATTATTCTATTGTTCTATTATTTAATGTATATATAATTATAATATGATATATATTACCTATTAAATAAAATTGTTCTATTATATATAAATTTAGAGCACATGCATGTTCTACACTCTGTTGTTCGGACATTGTTACATCACCGTGCAATTCGTTTATAATACATTATTCTGTATTATATTTCTAGTGCTGTCTCGTCTCCAGATGAGCATTTTTGAAAATTTTGACCTCAGATTCAAGGCGATCAGAAGTTCACTTTGTCCATGTTTTTATTCTACTTGAAAATGCAAAATTTATTCCTATAGAAGCCATTCGAAGCACAGAATTTAGAGGACATTTTGTGGGCAACCACGATGAAAATGAAGCTGTCAATAAGCTGATCCTGTTTTATAATCGTGTCATAAAAAAAACGTTTAAGTTCTCACACACGGAATGAAAGTTGGTTTAGGAGTGATTAAAATCGTGATATTTTCCAAGAAAATAAAAAGTATTTATTTTATCATTATAGTGGTAAATTTTAGTTAATTTAGTCCTTTATTAGAACTTTTAAATTTTGAAAGTTTAGGTTTTTTAAATAGCGTTAAGAGGGTATCGCCATAACGTCGATTCATTGCCGTGAGATTGAGTTCAGACAGGAGCACGTCCATAACAATTAAATTTATCCCGATCAAGTAAAGAACTGCAGCATGGAGTTCCAGTTGCCGCATACTGAAATTTCAAAATTACACAACCATATTTTCACCCCTGCACATTACTGCTTACATATTCTTTAACTTCGATTTCATGCGAATTTTTCCGCAATCGTGTATTAAATTCCCACATTTTTTCCTGATTATGAGCATATCGATGAAGAAAACTATGAAAACTTTCTTCATCTAACGTAATCAATGTATTATTGTATCTAGGGTGCTCTTTAATCCTTCTCATTGCAATTTTAGGTAGCTCACCTAGAAAAATGTTAATTAACCCGTCAGTCGCGCACT